AAATAATCAGTGTCATGTGCTAGCCACCAGATCGTGTGGGCTATAAACCTACCTTGCTTAGTCTACGGTTCTGCGATGACGAAGCAAATTATTCCCGGCCTGGGACAGTCGCCCCCTTCCCACGTACGGGGGCACTGCCCCTCCCCACTACTAGCGAGGTCGACCGCCTCCGCCCTGGCAGCTGTAGCCGCCCACGGTGCCGGAGCGGCACGAGCCCCCACCTTCTTGCAAGAGACGCCCGAGTAGCGGTTGGTGGACGTGCCGAACACCAGGTCGTTGAGGATGGAGGCGTACGGGGTGACGCCGATGCCGCGCCCACCATCACGGCGACCTCGAACTTGTACCAATCCTGGTTGCCCGCCGCCAAACGGCCCCTCCAGACGGATCTGGGGGGAGGGTCGGGCTGCCGACTGTTCTGGTGCCGCGCGGCGGAGGCCAAACACGGTCCGCGCAATCGCAAGATGGGCAAAACACGAAGAATTCCTGGGCTCTACTGTGCGCGCTGCTGGCTAAAGACTGCTCGTAAACAATGACGACACGTCTAAAGCATTTCGCCACAGTCAGCAACCAGCAAGAGACGTAATTTTACCGTTGTATGCCTTCGATACCTTTCCACGCTTAGTAAGTAGTTAAACATTAGCATTATGCTTTCGTCACACACACCAAACATTACCGAGATGGCTGATACATGCCAAACTACAAACCAGGAGACACAGCACAGCCGCTGTCGGGGTCTCACCCTCGGCGTTTGTGCGTCCTCCTCGAGTACGTAGTTGAGGGGATCGAAGAAGTTCCTCAGCTTCCACGTCCAGGGTCCCTGAGCCTTGATGTGGCAGGAGAGGAAGTTCTCGTGCGGCGCCGAGGTCAGGGTGAAGCTGTGGGTACTCATCGCCCACCGACGTGCAGGCCAGCCGCACCCACTCGCCTGAAACGAACGCCTGTGTTGCCGCACGTGTGTTTACCGATGTGGTAGTCTGTGGCCGCCTCGGACTGGGAGAAGTTCGTATGGCGCGGCGTGGGTCGTCGCGGTGTTGTGGACTTCGATGATTTATGACTGCGCTGGCGGAGATATAGCCAGGGGCTTCCCACGAAAGACTCCTACGTAAGATAAGTAATCTACATGTGGCCGTCAGTGGCGAAAAACATGTGTGAAAAGGAATACACATTCGTGGTGATTTATCGAGACGTGTAACTCCAAGGTCAGCAGCTTCTCTATGGCAGGGACCGGGGCCAGTGAAAGTTGTTTGCGCTGGTTAGTGGGACCCGGACCTCTTGATCAGGCGGAATGTAAACACCGCGAGCGCAGGGCACATGCGGTCCGCGTTAAACACGACGGAACACTCCCCGGCCTCTGAGACCGTTTCACATGCTGTGTGGACGGGCCAGGCCAAGCATCGTGGGAAAACGTTGCCAGTCACCCTATAAAACAATTTCCCACGGCGAATCCAGCACAACGTCCATTAGCCGCAAACAGGGGTGCTCGCACATAGAAGTCCCGTGCGCACGTACCTCCCATCTTACCAAATTTATGACAGGTACTAAGATGTACTTAATTGAATGTTGGCATTCAGTACGAGGTAGACAGGCTACCATAAATGGAGGATATATCGTGCTATTTTAGGAAATGGAAGAAAGTTTTGCCCGTCTGCGTTGCGATAAGTTCGGTTTTTAGTGAAAGTGCATCGAGTTGGACCCCCCCCCCCCCCCACACCTTGTAATGTCCTGCGCACGCCCCTGGCCACAAACAATCGTCGTCACCATTATCACCGGACATCACACACCGTCGTCACATATATCACCAGGCATCACACGCCGTCCCCCTGATATTCTGCTGGCTACACGGGATTACGATGCCTGCTGACATCGACCCCTGCACTCACCCGAGTGGTATTGGAAGTTGGGCGGCCGGTAGAACTTCACTCGCAACACATCAGATGGCAGCAGCTCCGTCTCAATGATGTCCAGCTCCATGTATTTGGTTCGCAGGCTGATGATCCTGTCAAAGGTGTAGACAACCGCCGGGCCGACGAAGAACATCCAGAACCTGGAACAACAACACCGTGCCCGTCCCTGAGCTTACAGCTTTGCGGAACGGTATCAGGAGAGCTGTTTCTCGCATTGCTCCTGATGACGATGAATAAACACGCGTTAATAAACACACACGAAATGTATATATATATATATATATATATATATATATATATATATATATATATATATATATATATATATATATATATATATATATATATATATATATATATATATATATATATATATATGTGTGTGTGTGTGTGTGTGTGTGTGTGTGTGTGTGTGTGTGTGTGTGCACATATGCCCGTTTACATGCCGATATATGTAAATATGTGTATATACTTGCGTGTTTACATCTAGAAATACACACACACACACACACACACACACACACACACACACACACACACACACACACACACACACACACACACCACACACACACACACACACACACACACACACACACACACACACACACATATATATATATATATATATATATATATATATATATATATATATATATATATATATATATATATATATATATATATATGTCTGCATTGATGGCGTCCGTGTTTTCACTTTATAAGACACTTTAGGGTTCATGGGTACCATTACACGTGAATGATTGGAACTTCAGAAAAAGAAGCATCCCCTTAAAAAATCGGAGACTCCAAGCCACAGAATATTTCCGTGCACACTGGTGCAGAAGTGTCAGTGATCAACATCAGTCCTCGGCACGACAAGACGCCCTCACGGAGGCAGCAGTTCCGTACCTGGGTGCTCCAGTCAGGCGGGCCAGTCCGTGCACCAGGGACAAGATGTACAGCAGGTAGTATAGCGTGTGTGAGTACCAGAATATTTGTAAGCCCGTTTCCTGACGAGCGGATGAGCAAAGATGAATATGATCATCACGATGATGTACAGAATGACGCCAGTCACTCCTGAAATAGCGAGAGAGGAAACAAAACATTAGGGGCAAATCCGGTTATGCCGATCATCTGCTGGTAGATATTTTGAATGGATTCAGCTGAGTTCCGATAAAATATGGTAAGACATCTGAAATAGCTTTCTCTTAATGGCAAAAAAGAGACGGACTATGGGACGACACCAAGGCAGGGGAAGCGTGGCGTACTGAATGTACATCATGATGCTGCTGGAATTACAGCTTTATTACCCACTATTTCGATGACCACAACGCCCATACCAATACCGCGGAATTGTTGTCATATCGGTTGCACACGCACCGGTAAGTGTGCAGAAGAGCCAGTAGCCGATGCCAGGCCTGGCGTCGCTCTGGAACGTCATCTCCGTCATGAGACAGCGCAGGTTGTCCAAACTCTGGGTGGAGACGTGGTAGAAGTTCACCAGGTGGCCGACAGAGTGCAGCACCGTGAAAAAGAGCGCCGTGCATGCGACGATCTTATGGAACTGGATGTGAGAGTCGATGGGGATGTACTGCTGAATGGCGTAGTTCTTCATCATGGTCAGGATGTTCCTGGACATGGTCAGCAGCAGCAGGGAGTAGCAGAAAGAGAGGGAGGCGGCGGCACCGCGCGTGATGGAGATGCCTACGCCCATCACGTGACGCAGGTCCGTGTGCTCGGCCAAAAACGAATAGTCTGCAACAGGAGAACTTGTGTTACGCGCCTCCTTGCAGCGTGTAGCATGCTAAGGGTACGCACAAGGTAGCAAAACGTACGGTGAATATACGATTGTCACATTGCTGCTCCTTTGTGACATAGAAAACCCATTGCTTCTGTTGACCCAAAACAAGCCAAGCGGCGAAGCATCACCACACCGGCTAAGCATGGTGAATGGCAGATAAGTAAGCAGGGAGAAGGTCTAATAATGCTGCGTACTAAGCGAATACGTTATCACGATTTCCCAACCTATCACAGCTTGCAGAGGCTACTCTTCAATCTCGCTTTTTGCGAAAGTAACTCAGCTCCACACAATGGTAAGTGCTGACAATGGTACCTCGATGACAAATGCGAATAATCAAATAGCACCATAAATTACACTTACGTGCAAACCGCTCAACAAACAATGCTACAGTAATGACATAGAAGAGGAAGAGGTAGAAGATGTTCTGCCGGTTCTCCTCCAGGAAGGTCACCCAGCCGTCCCACCTCTTCCAGAACCAGTGCTCCCGTCTCTCATTAGACGAGTCCATCAGGAAGCTGGGCATCCTGAGGGCATGACAAAGGGAATTGTCGGCTTTGCTGCTCGGAAAACGAGTGTTGCGTGCGCTCGCCCCAATCAGGAATGCTGATGGACCTGTTTGTTCAGATTACGGCATTCAGGCCCTTATAAAGCACGTGACTTACAGTCCCATCGATGCAAGTCATCCCAAGGCAAATTGGCCGGGCAACTTAGCTCGGCGTAACTCTTCAGGTGTTCGTGATCGCCATCATCATCGGCCGTGAGAAATATTCATGTTGCATAAGATACTTCGAGCACAAAAAATACACGCTTGGTTAGGAACCCAAACATACATCAAGAGTTGTTAGCTTGCCGGCACCTAAGTTCAGTACAAGGCGAGTCTGGCGGCCGGAACTAATCGGTCGTGAAGCACGGCAACTCCCGGGTAGAGTCACAAAAGGCACTTTTCCTTGAAATGTGACCGACTTTGTGCAATGGATGGCCTCAGGAATACATTCCATCCTAGACACTGCCTGTTACGAAGACACTGACTCCAACATTCCGCTAGGGTAATGCCGGTTCAATATATGTACGATATATGACAGATGTAGAAAAGGGTAGATCACCTTGCTATGAGTTTGATTTACCTGGCAATATTTGTCGATGTGTCAAGGAAGTTTTGTTTTGCGCCCTTGCAATCCAGTCCAATCGCCACTAGGTCACCCTTGAACTCCTTCATCAAGAGCTTAAAGTCGTCGTACGTCATGACGTCCTTGTCCTCCAGCCCGGCCGACAGGAACATGCCGTCGATGAGTTCAATCGACTTGGGCGTCCGTCAGACTGTTGGTCTTGGCAATCTCGACCAAGGAGCGCAACATCTCGGACAGCTCGTCCTTGTCGATGGTGCCGTTGCGGTCGTTATCGCACATGTCGAAAATTATGCGCAGCTTGTTGTCGATGGTGCCGCGCGAGAACAGCTCCACGGTTTCGAGGAACTCCTGGAAGCTGATCTGCCCGTCGCCATCCTTGTCCACCACGTTGAACATCTTCTGCACGAACACCGAGTCGGCCTTCATGCCGAGCGCGCTGGCAAATTCACGCTTCGTGAGTGACGTGCGCATCACCATGATGATGTCGTTGGACACCTCCACCTTCTTCTCTCCCGGCTTCCTGCCGAACGACAGCGAATAGGCTTCGCGGAAGAAGTGCTCTAGCCGCTTCTGGCGACGCTCCTTGGTGTCGGCATTCTGCAGCATCTGCTCCTTGTAGGTGGACACGGTCTCTATCGACTTGTTGTGACCAGCCAGGAACTGCTCCAACTTCGCCAGGAAGCGCTTGCGTAGGTTAACCGAGTCGAAGTCAAGCACGACGTCATGGTCGCCGGGCACGCGGACCAGGCACATGGGCTTGCCACGCACGTCGTCCGTCACCTCCACCACCACCGTCTCCACGCTGCCGAAGCGGGCCGTGCGCAGCTTGATACCCTTTCTGTTGACCGTATGGAAGGCCACGTCCGGGCCGAACTTGATCTTGACGTTGCGCCGGTGGTTCTGATGCAGCCACTCGGTGACGAACATCTTGTCCGTGGACCTGCCGTTGTTGTTCTCCTCCTGCTTCATGCGGTAGCGGCGGCGCGCCCTGTTCTGCAGCTTGACCACGCCGTAGGCGGCTCCCATGCACAGCAGCGGTACGGCAGCCAGGAAGATGCAGGCGTAGATGTACGTTACCCTCGTTGCCCTGCGACAGACGGACAGTCAGAGCGGCGGGCTCTGCTGGAGAAACCAGCTTTGCCATATGCCGGCACAAAAAGACACGGCCTTGTTGTACGCTGCTTAAATATTGCATGTACAAGAAACTGGACAAATACTGAACGCCATTCTGCATATTAATTATCTAAGTCGTGTCCCAAGTTTCCAAATACGAAAGCGTTCGCATCAAAATGCCTCCCATTAACCGCAATGCATCGTATTTCAATTCTTAACCTGAAATGCACCGTTTACTCATTTTGATTTGCTCCACCTTGTCACAGGAGCCAAAACCCGTCAGTTCGCTGGCAGTGACGTCCTGCGCGTCACCTGGAAATAGTCGTGTCCGCCGAGCAGCCGGCACGGCTCCATCTTGCTGGCGTTGAGCTGCATTGGCTGCGGACACGGGTCGTCGGCCAAGTGGAAGAAGACGGTCTCCTGGAGGTCCCCGCTGCCGATGTCCGTGGTGGCCCGGATGATGTCGTAGAGGCGCACCCTCTTGACTGCCTCCACCTCCGTCTCCGTGAAGATGCTGTGGTGTGTGCAAGGCACGGTTAGGCAGGTTCGTCTTCAGCGTCCCAAATGCCAATACAGCAGAAATGTAGCTTCACTCGCGCGTGTGAGGATAATGCAGGCATGACAAATTTACTCACTTTTTGTGCATCAGTAGCCCATGTGTAGGCAGGAACGTTACTCCGCCGACTTATATGCGACGCACCTAGTTGGTAAGGTGATTCGCAATATTTACACAGGTCGGTCGACCTGCTGATTTGACCCAGCGAGCCCGGCCAACCGATGCCCAGATCTACATTCACTCGACCCCCGATTACGGTACGTTCCCCCTCCACCCATGGCACTCCCGCCCATTCCCCGCTCACCCGTTCTCGGTGTTCTCGAACCAGAACCGGTCGGCGTCACGAAGTCTCTGGAACTGCTCCTTGATGATGGCACGGAAGAGCTGGCCAGGCCCGTCCCGGCTTTCCAGCATGCCCCCCACGTAGAGGTCAATGTTCATCATCTCGTCTCCGTAGGCGTCCATCAGCTTCTTGAATAGCTCGGGCCGCTCGCTGGCCAGCTCCGGGTTCACCTCGGTCAGATTCTTGATCATTGGCAGCTGCCGTGGGAAAGGCAAGGCAGGTGTCAGTGGCGCGAGACACTGGGAACGTTCGTGACGACCGCTCTTGCCAAGTGACGACAGCGCTCCGGTACTCCAGCGCGGAACGACACTCGCTATCCTCATTCATTCATCTCTCACAGGCATACTTGCTTTCGGTCATTCAAATTTCCGCGCGGAAGAAATGCCTTTAGAGGATCTATTGACCATCCCATTTGTCGCATGTGTGTAAATGTTGTGAAAAGGCTCATGACATAGATTTCACTAACACATCATTGTCTGAAATTTCATTTTGATTCCATTCCCTGAAATGCCAGCAGATCGTCTTGAAGAAGATCGAGATGCTGATTTCTTTTCCCATCATCATAAGATGCGGGACAGGACATGACTCTTGTCCGGGCCATTTTGCGGAGAGTTGTTTGTATTTGTAATGACTGCGTAACGTGACCGATGGGACATAAAGCACGTTCTGCATAACTGGTAGAATGAAATTGAAAAACAAGGCACTTACACCACAAACAGTAGTTTTGCAAGCCATCACTGCACCAACGACGGACTCAAAGACACAAGGGCTCATGTAACGCACCCCGCAGATAAGAAAATCGACTCCAGCATCCCTAAATGTCTTCAAGTAGAGTAGAGGACGCCAAGAACAGAGTACCGTTCCAGGGTGAACCTTTCTGCCCCATCGGGGGGGGGGGGGATGAGGGGGTATGGGACGCGGGGCTGACCTTGAGCACTTGCGGACGGTGTTGTAGTCGGGCAGGCCGTTGTCCCGCCCGCGCATGATGTTGAGCGCGCCCAGGTCGCGGCGCGAGAACTCCATCGGTCCGAACAGCTTGTCGCGCACGTCCGAGCACAGCACGGCGTCCTCGCGCTCGGCGATCTGCGACGCCATGCCCATCAGCAGCTCCTCCACCGTGCTGTTCTCCAGCACGTCCTGCCGGCGGCGGAGGGGGCAGCGGTCACGAGGGCGGACGCAGGCTGGCAGAGGCAGCGTCAACGCAGCCGGCGAGGTCACGGACACCTGGCGAGCTGACAGCACGTCAGGAGGGAGGGAAGCGGTGCAGGCCCAGGCTAACGCACTGTGAAGCTAGTTTGCGTTGAAAAGTCACCTGGGCCCATCACGAGACTTTGAATGCTTGCATCCCTGAGTTTAAACGGCACAGTTAATGAATGTCGTTATTTTTGCCTAGATCCATATCCTTGCAAAGAAACGTCTCGCTGAAACCAAACATCGAGGGATATTTAAAAGATTGCGTGCAATTTGTGCTGTCAGTTGGATGAATTAACACTCATAAATCCGCTTTTTATTAGCGTAACACCAAGATAAGTGCATGATCAAACTATCTCATTCATCAAGTTGGCTATCCTCAAAGAAACAACTCAGTTTTTTTTTCATGCTCTGCGCAGTTTGTGTTGAGGATCAAAATGAGCGTCATAACATAAGCTCCTTAGATATGTGTCGATGGGGATGGGATAAATTCCTTAGATATGTATAGACCGTAGGACGCATGAAAATTGGCATTCAAATATCCTCGTCATTTATTTCACACAGACCAACTGCCGGCTTTAACATTGCACATCCGCGTGAGACTCGATTACCCGGATTTTAGTAGAACAGTCGATCCAATGTATCCTGTGCGGTCAGATGTTGGAAGCACCCAGAGGTGGCGAATGCGCCATAAAGGATACAAGGCAGCGCCGCCTTTTGATGTGCATGGTTGACGAGCATAATTCCAACACATTTCACTTAAAACATATTCGCTTCGGCAACTCCATCATCTAAGCATATTGGGCATTCTCCATCTGAAACGGTAGCCTGACACGTCTCGACGTAGATATCTTTCAACATTTTCTAGCACGGGTATAGAAGCATTGGCCATGAATGTGGCGATCAGTTGGGAGCGTAACAGTCGAGCGGTTAGCGCCTTGGCTGCCACGTGGAGCCGCGGCGAGGAGTCATCTTACAGAAGTGGTTACTCCCTCACGCACCCTGTCCTAGCCGACTTCGCCTCTCTTCCGGGGTTGGGTGGGTGGGTTTTATTGCTTATTACGTATTACTCGTCCGTTTCTCGGGTGCCTCGGTCAAGATTGGCCAGCAGGAGGAGGAGCCGCTGGCCGGGCCGGCCGGTCGCGACTCGTCCGGCGGTGAGGGGCCTGACGGCCACAAGGTGCTCATAGAGCCCATGGTTGAGCGCAAGGTCACCACCTTCGGCACGCCCGAGGCTCAGTGGAAGGCCCAGTTTTTTATATTCTACAAAATTCGGGAGGAAGGGTATCGATGCGCTGGCATCGAGGACGTTCGCCTGCCGGTGGAGATGACCGTGCCCAGCGCCCAGGTGGGTCGCATCATCGGCAAGAAGGGCCAGAAAGTGCGCGAGCCGCAGCGCTCCACCGGCACCGTGATAAAGCTGCCGCAGCAGCCTGAGGACGGCCTGGCGCCAGAGGGAGACGGTCGTGTACATGGTGGGGGCCGTTCTACTCGGCGCAAGTTGGCGCAGCGGCGGATTCGGGCGCTCGTGTCGCAGGGCGCGCCGCCGGCCGGCCGGCCGCCACCGCCGCGCCGCCGCCGCCGGTTCGCCCGACGCTCCGCCGCCGCCGCCGCCGCTCGTGTGAGCGGCGCCCCCGCCGCCGCCGCCGCCACCGCCCGCTTCTGACCAACCGCCTGGACCCCAACCGCCTGCCCGACCTTCTCTCAGCCATTCGTCTCCGCGCCCCGCTCTCTCTGGAGGTGAAGCCTTGAAAACGCACCGTGGTGGTAACAGCGATCTCTCCGTCGTTTTCGGATGGTTTTCCCCCAGATATATCAAAATGTTGCATTAAGATGTGAGATATTAAGTTTGAAATAATACAAAAAGCAAGTAACTTAGATAAGCCCGCGGTAATAGCTTATTGCTCGCAAACAAAACAGGATAGTGGAGATATGGGCAGCTCATCTTTATCCCCATTGTCCTGGATTTCCATGAGGAATAAGGCTTTATTGCTATCTACCTATTTGCATAATGTTCCTCGTAAAAGTGCTACCAACTTAAGCAAGGAACTTCACTCAAAACTTCCCATCCGTCCGTCCCAATAGCCCGGTTTAGAGCGACCGCCTGCCGATCTTCCCATCCGCGGCGGGGTGGGTCGAGTCGCTCTAGGAACTCGCTATCGCCCGCCCTGGCAGATGCGGCCTCCGCCCCAGATGCATCTGACAGAGGCCAGCGGTTCGCAGCTTAAGGTCAGATGGCGTCCAGAGGCGGGACGCTCCGTGCCGAGCTTCGCGGGACGATAAAATTTCGCCACCACGTTTCGCCGTTCCATCTGGAATTGCACGATCAGATGGTAGAGGTCAGGGCTCACACAGCGAGCACTGCTCAGCGTGAGGCCTGATCCCAGCAATCCATCTATTCAAAAGGTAAGGATGAAACCTTTGAAAACCGTGCTACCTCACCAGCTTATTGTGATACGGTCTCGTCAAAATGTCGGCACGGCCGTATGTGTGGAGACCTTTGCATCCTCGAAGCGGCCCTGTCTCTGAGAGATCTGCACCATCTTGTCTGGTGATTAAGGAAGCATGGAGCTCGTCTTGTCTGGTGATTACGAAAACATGGAGAAGGTTATACAATGTGCATGATGGACATCACTGTTCTTGTCTGGAGGGCAAGAGAGGGCAAAACCACAAAAGGTGAGCATTAAACCTATATTAATTTACCCGCAAAAAGTGGGAGTATTATCAACTCAACTAATTTGTAAGTGTCGCCAATAGTGTGGTGGGATCTTAGGTCGAGGGTCGAGTCGGTCAAGTTACGTTATCAACATTTTACTGTACATAACTTCCCTTTCACCCAAACATGAATATTGAATCTCCAATGTAATCTAGGGCGAAGATCATGAAAGGTTGCGAAATGAGTTTCGGTGATATCATCTTACCCTTTATAAGTCATAAGGTATTCGTGGACTGGGGTAAGTTTCATTCTGTTACTACATGAAGAGCTATGAGACGACGAAACACAAACATTGAAATCATTTCCTGACATTTCAGCCGTACAAGACGGCGTAACTAAGCCCGAAAAGCTCACAGAGAGCACACAGATGTTGCGGTGGTTGGAGAAACTTCCCTGTAATATGTACGTCAAATTCATTCAAAACCCTATGTTACCTATTTTTGTGTGATAGGTTCAGGTCCGTTACCTGGAATTTCGGGTTTAATTTACGCTAAAATGTACATAAAATCGGACGATCCTGCGCACTCCCGCAGGCCTTGAATAATTTGACAAAACTCGACGTTTCAAGCTACGCTCAAGCTCACTCGTGACCACGGGCAAAACTTGGGACATCGAGGTTCGTCAATATAGCAAATGATTTCTTCATAATGCCGTTCAGCCAATACCTCCTGATATACGGAGGGTCGGAAAAGCTTTAAGCTCCAAACCAAACCAACGTGCCATGGGGCACTTTGTAGCCATCCCTCTGAATTGATAGTGGTTTTGAAACACACCTGCTAGTGGTCTCACCACGACAGGAGTAAAAATGCTCACTGAATTTAAAGGCCGCAATGTTGCAACAATACGCTAGTTCTATCACCACTTCACTAGCACTAGCACGTCCCTAACCGTGAACTTCTCAATCACAACCACGCCGAAGCCGAACATACATCGCGCGGTTAATTGTCATGGCTCGGGCCGATCATATCATTCGCCTGCCAGTCAGTCCGTGATTGAGAGCCGGCGGGGTCGCGGTCATCGCTGTACAAGCCAGCACTCCAACGCCGGTCGTTTGGGGTCTGGTCAATCACCATCGATTCTCAGAGCTGCGGTGGAAACCCTGCCGTCGGAGATGCCATCGTTCCACCGCCATATGAGCCGTGTGAGATCGATTGTTTTTTCTCTGGTAAGGTCATACCGAGATAGCACCAGCTAGCCTGCGTGGACAGGCTACAGGGAGATGGCTATTTCACGTGGCTGATAAGCCGAAACATCAGCGGAGACAGCCTTAAAAGATTGTGGTAACTGTAAGACAGTCAGGAAAGGTCACATTGATTTAGTTTCTCTCAAGTCGTGTTTAAACCAGGATGCAGTAATTCCCATCCAAGGCCTTTTTAACTGCTGCTAAGACCCCATGGTGAAACTCATCCTTTTCCTCAAAATATGCTCTTATCATCTGTCATGCTAAACCTCCTCTTGCACCGACGTGACTATAGAAGTGGTTGCGGGGGAGAAACAGATGATATATATATATATATATATATATATATATATATATATATATATACTTCGGACTCGCCCTCCATCGGTATTAATCTCAACAAAAAACTAAAGAGCTGAATACATGCCTTAGTTGCCTTTTTGTTGAGGTATTCAGTAGAAAGCATTAAACCCAAGATATATATATATATATATATATATATATATATATATATATATATATTGCCTTGCAATGTTGATTAAAAACGACCCGCAGATTTCACATTCGCAAGCTTTTTGAGGCACCATTCGAGGTTCCGGGCTCTCGGCTTAGCAGTATCGTTAAGATGAAAGATTGCTTGCACATCATATCCTCGTCAATTTCCACGAACGAATAGGAAGATGACAAAAGATGCATCACAAAGCTTGTCAATGTGGAATCATCGGTCGATTCTAGTCAAACATGCTTAAAAGAAAATGTCCCGTCACGATGCGCCATTACATATACATATATATATATATATATATATTATATATATATATATATATATATATATTTCATTCTTGTTTCTAATCTATACTGTGGGCACTACGGTAATCTTATCCGATATTCTGCTAACTTCAGCCATGCTCAGGAGCGCGCTTCAAAACGTAGAATCTCATTTAACATCTAGGCTGTCGCTTTTGATATAAAGAGCATCGCATGTTAGCACGGATGCAGGAGATATGC